TCCTTGCAGCAACCTTGAGATACTTCATATAGGTGTTATTCCAATTTTACAGCTGAGGAAACTGAGTCTCAGAGAAGTTAAAGTAGTTTTCCTAAGATCGCAATTCTAAGGGGCAAACCTATATTTAAATCTAAGTTTTCTGACTCCAGGATTCAATTTTCCTTTCATTATGTCTTACTCCCTTCAACTAAATACATAAATCATTACATTAGGGACAGACCATTAAAATAACAAACATTTTGCTATTTTTTTTAAAAAGCTATTAGCAGCTACACAGGCCTCCAAAGTCTGGCAATCTCAGCAAAAGAGCAGACAGATACAGGGCCAAAACATTTCATAACTAAAATCCCCAGTGTGTTAACTCCTAAACTTGACCCTACCAATTATGAAGCCTCCCAGTGGTTTTGATTAATTTATCCCATGTAATTATTTAGGTAAATGTAAATCCTCAGTCATCAAATAAATACCCACTCCCTAGATTCTACAATTAACATTTTACAATGCTTGCTTTATTACATATCTACCTGTCTGTTTATCCCTCTGTCCAACCAGCAATCCATTTCATTTTTCTGAACCTGCAGATATCAGTAAACTTTACTCATAAACAATTCAGCATATATAGCATTAACTTAGTTCAATATTTGCTTTTGTTTTTTTAAGTAAAATTTGCATGTAATCAAATGCAAATCTTAAGTGTACCATTCAATACATTTTGCCAAATGTATACACCCGTGTAACTAAACCTCCATCTAGACACAGGATATCACCCTTACCCCAGAAAGTTCACTTATGCCCCTTCTCAGTCAATTCCCCACCTCTGTTCTAATATTTACCATCAGTTTTAGCTGTTATAGAGCCTCATATGAATGAAATCATACAGTATTTATTCTTTTGTGTAAGGATTTTCTCATTCAAGATAAGGCTTTTGTGATTTATCTATGTTGTTTTGAGGATCAGGAGTTAGCTTCTTTTCATTGTTGAGTATTATTCTATTGTAGAAGTGTACTAATTTCTTTAACCATTTTTCTCTTGACAGACACCTGGGCTGTTTCCAGTTTGGGGTTAATCTAAATAAAATACCATGAATATTACTGTAGAACTCTATTTGTGAATGTTTTTATTTCTCTTGGCCAAATACCTAGAAATGGAATCCAGGTCATAGGAGGGTGTATGTTTAGCTTTATAACAAACTTCCAGAACTTTTTATAAAGGAGTTGTAGATCACTTAATTCCCATGAACAATGTATGAGCATTTCTGTTGCTCCACATCATCACCAACATTGGGCATTATGAGTCTTTTTACAGTTAGCCATTCTATCAAGCCTTTGTCAGATTACTTTTTGAACTACAAAATAAGAATATTCACAATAGAGAGAGTTTCCATTGTCAAGAGGCAACTTAGTCAAAATCTGTATTTGTGTCCTCCTCCTCCTACAGCAGTTCAGGTTTCCTAAGCTATATGATTTGGTCATTAAATCCTGATCTGCAAGGAGTTAGTTGAGAGCAGATTTATAATTTGGTCATTATTTTAAATGTTTTTGGATTCAGCTTGAGCTCTAAAGCACTGAAATTTTGAAGTTAATTCTTAGAGTTTTTTTCTATCAATACTAAGGCTTTGAAATTAATCAATATGGTTAAGCTCTTGACTTACACGCAATAGAAAAAATAAATAATCACAATCTAGTCACTAACTCATAAAACATATTTGACTGAATTAAAAGAATCACCCTCAGGGGTGACTCTCATAGACCTAAACTCTGATTAATTAGAGTGAATCGTGTTAGACTAAACATAAATAACATGTGGTAAAGTTACCTCTAAGTTGTTACTTCCAGTTCCCATAGGAATTACACAGGTCCAATTTCATTTTAATGTAAATGTTTCCTTAGGTCTTGTAATCTATCCCTAGGAAGTTTCAAGCTTTTAAATTGCTGTTTTCTTAGCTCTTCTTTCATTCTCCGTGTTTCAGCTCTTACTCATTTGTTATGAAAATAACGCAAATGCTCTTAATGTTTCCCAAAAATGTATTTCAGTTCACTGCTTATAACATCAGACATATTATAACTCATTTGACAACTTGCATTTCAATGAATTTTCAGTAATCACTAACGGTAATAAATCTTAAAGCTCTAAAGAGGGAGAAATAAATTGTACAAGCCCTGAAGTTAAAGTAACTTAGTCAAGGCATCATGAAACTCTAACATAAAAGATACCTTAACTTTTCCACTTTTCTTTAAATAGTTCCTTTCTTTCTCTATATTTCAATTTCCCAAGACATTAAAGGGCAACATATGAGTGTATATGTGACTTTGTTAACCAGAAAATTTATGATGCAACCTTAGCATCAATTAATTTTTGTTAGGCAGATTGAATTTCTGGTGGCACCTATTCAGTTCTTCTTGTAACAAGTTTGAGAATCTCTGTGGGTTACAGAGGCATTTGGGAGATGGCACCCAAAGAAATGTTTTGAATTAGGCATTTTAATCTGTTTTGACGTGCCTTTTCTCAGAAGCACCTAATGCATTGCTTTACCTCTCTTTTTCTAGCTGTAAAATAATACTAAATATACTGGTTCTTAAAACATGTTAATATGGTAGTCATTTGTTTAAATTACATAAAATGTCATCCATATATGAAGTTTGCATATTTTTGGAGCTAAGCCCCACTAGGCACATATTTTGTACTTCTGAAAATACGAATGTTCCGTGGCCCGGATGCTACTGTACTGGCTAATTGTCCCACTCACAAAATGTACAATACATACAACAGATTTTTAAAAGGTTTTAAAGTTTTTTTTTTTTTAAATCTGCATATGAGGGTTCAGCATCACATATACTAAAATTGAAATATACAGAAAAGATTAGCATGGCTCCTAAGCAAGGATGACATGCAAATTTGTGAAGCATTTTATATTGTTCAAAGTTACAGTTAGATAAAAGGAATAAGTTCTGGTGTTCTATTGCACAGTAAGTAGCATGACTATAGTTAACCATAATGTATTTTATATTTCAAAATAGCTAGAAGAGAGTATTCTGAATGTTCTCACCACAAAGAAATGATAAATATTTGAGGTAACAGATCTGCCAACTACTCTGATTTAATCATTATACAATAGATACATGTATCAAAACATCACACTCTATACCATAGTATATACAATTATTATGTGTCCATTAAAAACAACATTTTTAAAAATATCTGCCTATGAGCCACCAGGGCCAATGTTATATGTAGGTGAAAATAGGCAGCTGATGTTGGGATGATGAACCAGCATAGAAAAGAACTGTCTGCCTTAAAATATTTTCCCTTTACCCTCCTTTTAGATTAAGATATTATCTTCAGATTTTGCTCTGAAAAGTAAATGTATCAGTAGATAACATACAAGGATCAATTTTTATTACATGAACAATTAATGCCCATTATCTGTTCAGAATCTAGCAGGTCCATGAGGGAATAGGACACAGTCAGAGACTGTGAAGGCTGAAGATGATATGAAATAATCAGAGGGGGGTGTGTATGTGTGTCTGGGTGTGTGTGTGTATGTCTGGGTATGTCTGAGTGGGGTGAGATGGGAGAATCGGAGGACAGCTTGAGAGTGGAAGGCACCTATGGGAGGATGCTCTGAAAAAAAACCCGATATTTTCCCCAGAGATACACTTGCTTCCTATGTTGGCCTAGGGTGGCACCCACGAGACACCAATGAGAAAATAACATCTTTTAATTTTCAGATAAAGCCAAATTTTGCATGTAAGCTCTTCTGAGGTACTTTATTCTGTCTGACACAGTAAAAACATGTGCAGGCATCACTGATGCTGAGGCTAAGAATTTTGCATTTCCTTGTGTTACATAAGCCATATGGTTAGATCAACTCTTGCTCATCGACTAAATAAGTATTGAAAATGAAAACTAACTATCATTGTAAAGCGCTGTGTACATACAAATTCTCTTTACTGTGATTCCAGAACTTGAAGTCGTTATTTTTATCTGATAATTACCTCCTGATATTTTGCCACTGACCCACATTACAAAGAAATCAAATCCAAATGCTATATTTAAAAATCAGATTTCATTGCATTTTAAATTAATAGGGATGGAAGTAAAGTTAACTCATTAAGACATTTGATAGAGTTCACTTTTAGGCTTTCTTTTATTTCTAATCTATCTCTAAACTGTATCCCTTTTATTTGATTTGTTTTATTCAACACATGCTATTTTAGTCGCATACAAAATAGAGTATTGTTTTATCAACTAGTTTTTCTCCCCTTAAAAACAAAAGTGATTGCTCCATGTTTTATCATTTATATATGTTTTATCATATTTAATAGAGGAAGACACAAGGACTTTAGAATAAACTTTAGAGCATAAGTTCAGCATTTATTTAGCTTTAGATTGTTAAGCATAATTAGTAGAATTTTATTACTTTTTTCATGACATTTTAATTTTTTCGTTAAAAACATTTGGTCTCTCATAAATTAGCAATAGCAAACAATAAAGGAAGAACCTTTAGACTGAGACAAAAAACCTTGATAAAAATAATTTGTAAATTGCTCTCTAATCATATTATACGAGGGCCCTAATATTAAAGAGCTGTCTTACAACTGGTAATTGAATTGCTCTTGTCAGTTTCTCTAAAAACAAGGGTTTTTAATCTCTTCTTGCAGGCTAGGAGATTCTTATGGTTTAAATATATTTTGGAAATTTGTTCCAACAGCTCAATTGAAGATGTCTGATATTTTCAATTATGTAAAGCATTTATGATTTTAAGCTCCCGGCAGAACTCTGCTGCTGAAGGGGGAAAAAATTAAGAACTGTTAGTCAGAAAGAGACTTACATAAGAACTGTCACATTGGTCATTGGTTTCAAAGCAGGAAGTCCTATATTTTAGAATCAAGGCTTTAAGGAATCTTTATTGAGCATTTTTCCCTCTCGGAGCTGAGACAAATGGCTGATGAGTGAAATCTTGAGAATGTTCACAGCTTTTCTCTTTCATTCTGTTGCAGCCCGGAAGATGGTGAGATCCATCCAGAAATCTGTCGGCTTTACATCCAGCTGCAGTGCTGTTTAGAAATGTATACCACAGAGATGCTAAAATCCATATGTCTGCTGGGGTCTCTTCAGTTTCATCGAAAAGGTATCTACGTTTAATCTTGCCGGAAACACTGAGGAATGTTGAACAAAAGCTAATCTTTGGCAAAGTGTCCATATATACCATATGCCTATCTATATGCAATTAGAATGAATTTAAATGTTCAGGAAATGCTTGCTATATAAATAGGTAAGAAGTCTATATCAGTACTATTAAGTGTATACTAACACGGATTGTTCTGAACAGAAATTAGGGCAGCAACAGTTCTCAAATTTATTATTTTAGCTGTTGTGAACATGACTTTTGTTAGATTCAGCATAAACAGCAAGGTATGTACTGATTTTACTAGGGGAGTAAATGCTATCCAAGACTGCTATTTTCCTAAATGAATTAAGTTGCAAGAAGACAAATTACATAGTGTCCCAAAGATTTAAAAATAGAGGGAACTCCATAAATAACAGGGAGGTTAGTAATAGATAACCTCATTTTCTGGCTTAAACCATAAAGGAAATAAGGACTGTACCCTCCAGAGGTTAGTCATGGCTTCAGCATGATTTCATCAGACTTCCAGCTCCCATTCTGAATGATGCTCTGCCTTCTGGGTGTTGGCTTTACCCTCAAGCTGGCTTCCCTCACATTAGCAAACTGCAACAGTTGCAGTCATCACATCTGGCACTGTCCACTAAGAGAGCGAACTTCTCCCAACTACAGAGAAAAAGTTCTGAGCTTCATTCTGCTTGGACCAGGTTTATGCCTAAACCAATCACTGTAGACAGTGGGGAGGAATCCACTGACTGATTAAGGCAATCAAGGCCCATTCCTGGAGCTAGGGGGTGGAGTCAGCCCCACCCAACCAGTGGATATTCTGTGATGGGAGACAGTGGAATGGGAAGGATGCCACAGAGGAAGTCAAAAGTATCCATCACCAGAAGATTCAATCTGTATTTTCTTCATTAATTCATTGAACAATAATTTATTGGGAACTTCTAGAATACAGTGTTTTTGTGCTTGAGCTCAGGATAATGGTAGATGGTGGGCTGTGCATAGAAGGTAATCCTTGCCTATGATTTAAATTCAGAGATAGAAAAGGCCAGAGAACTTAGAAATACTCAGGGAAAATCTTAGGGTTCTGAAGTTAGGGTTCAGTTGGGGAAGGAAACAGAAAGATATTTCATATGAAGAAGCAAGCAATTAAAGGAAAGATTTGAAATCAAATAAGCATTGCAATTTGGAGGAAACTAAAGGACATGATGAAATACTTGTAAAACCCAAATCTTGACCGAGCGCAGTGGCTCACGCCTGTGATCCCAGCACTTTGGGAGGCCGAGGCAGGCGGATCACGAGTTCAGGAGATCAAGACCATCCTGGTTAACATGGTGAAACTCTGTCTCTACTAAAACTACAAAAACAAAATTAGCCAGGTGTGGTGGCGGGTGCCTGTAATCCCAGCTACTCGGGAGGCTGAGGCAGGAGAATAGCGTGAACCCGGGAGGCGGAGCTTGCAGTGAGCCGAGATCCCACCACTGCACTCCACCCTAGGCGACAGAGCGACACTCAAAAAAAATAATAATAATCTTGTGTACACATATACATATGCACACAGGTGAACTAAAAACAAGATCCTACTACATTGCTCCAGAGGCAGGAGAACATTTTTCCCAATATGTGAATATTATGTCTTTCTCCTTTTGCCTTCTGATGGCTGATTTTGCAAGGGTTTCCATCTTTACTTCTGTTATTAATATATGAGAGATTAGCTCCTTGATACTCCTAATGCCTGATCAGGAAATTGAATACTCAGACACACTCATGACATCCAAACTGATGTCATAGGCCTGATGTCTTTCTCTCTCTGTCTCTCTCTGACACACGCACACACAAACATGTACATGCATTCACACACAAACACACATACAGAGTCGTATTTTCATTCTTTCTAATGACTGAGTAGGCAAGGGATAGGTAGTTTTATTCCCAGGTCTGCACTGGCTGCACCTGCAGGATTTCATGCCTTGTTGCCACTGGGATCTTCCTTGCTGACGGCATGTCCTTAACACCCGGTGATCTCTACTCCCACTCCTGCTGTAGCTCCTCGATTTGCCACCTGGTCTCCTTCTGCCATCCACTCCTACTTTTTGTCTTTTCACAACTGATTTTTGAAAAGGCAACAACAACTCCTCTCTGCTAGCTCTCTGTTTATAAGTAAAGGGGATTTCCCCATCCAGACTGCTTTCTTGTTGCATTTGGTCATTTCATGCAAATGAAATGCAATCACCTCTTAACTGAGCAGCTCCTTCGGTCTTCACTGCCTCCTGTCTACACTGTCAGTTTCTGCTCTGCTTCTTTCTCTGCCTATTTTTAAAAAATAATCAAATAAACTGCTGCCGCCTGCTCTAGTGCCTAAACTTCTATGTACAACTCATAAAGAGAAAATGCCTGATAGTATCTTTGATTTCTCCCCCATGTAGGATTAAGTGTCCACTTGGATTTCTATCTTCTAAAATCATTATTAAAGTGTAATCCTTAGAAAACCTGCTTCAAAATTAACCAGGATGCTGGATAAACATGCAGATGCCTGGATCCTATCCAAGGACCTACTGAATTCAAGTCTCTGAGGGCACTCCAGGTGATTCTGAAACACATTGAGGATTAAGAACTGCTCCTCTACCCTTTGAGACCAAAAAAATGTAAATCACACCCCACCCTCCGTTAGAATAAAAGGAAAAACTTCCAAGCCCTTACCATGCCATTCTGCTCTGCTACTGTCTACTCCCCGAAGTGTACACTTTCAATGTGACTTTATGTGTTCTTCTTTCTCCCCCATGCTGATGAAAAGCAAATACAAAAGGGGTAGGTGCCCCGATGAGTGTGATCTGTGTGATGGCTCATACAGTGCGTTGTCTCCAGGAACTGGGGATGTGACCATTGAAATAGGCAGTGGTTCTCAAAGTGCAGCCCCTGAACTAACAGCATCGGTGTCTAAATCATTTGTTAGAATTGCAAATTCTTAGTCCTCACCCCAGACATACCAAATCAGAAACACCTCTAAAGTTACTTTTTTTACTGCTGGAAAAAAATAAAACAAGTCATTGAGATATTTCTCCAACTGAATATGTGTATAACCCTCGATCACCATCTGTAGCCAGCAAACCATAATTCTTTACTCTTTTTGGAAGTATGCATATACCCTACACTCCTGGCAAGTCTCTTGGGTTTCCAGAATGCAAGTCCAAGAACTAGCTGTCCTATAGACCGTTACCTTTCTCTTGGTACCAGTAGAGTTAAGGCAATGAGGAGGAGGAGACTACTTTATTGGTGACAAATTATCAATTAATACAGGAGTAAAGAAAATAGTAACATGTAGGCTTAAGAAATCTATTGAAGGCTGGGCACAGTGGCTCACATATGTAATCCCAGTACTACGGGAGGCCGAGACGGGCGGATCACAAGGTCAGGTGCTCAAGACCAGCCTGACCAACATGGTGAAACCCTGTCTCTACTAAAAACACAAAACTTAGCTGGGCGTAGTGGCGTGTGCCTGTAATCCCAACTACTCAGGAGGCTGACGCAGGAGAATCACTTGAACCCAGGAGGTGGAGGTTGCAGTGAGCTGAGACCATGCCACTGCACTCCAGCCTGGGCAACAGAGCAAGACTCCATCTCAAAAAAAGAAAAGGAAAGAAAACAAAACAAAACAAAACAAAAATATTGAAGGTGGAGATAAGTCACTAGTAATAAGCATGAAAGAAAATATCATTAAACCAGAGAAAATAAAGTGCTAGCAAACATATGCATGAAGATATACACTAGAAAAATTTCCTGAAAATTTCTGGAAGGACAAATAAAATATTAGCTTTGGGGGAGGGATGATTACTTTTTTTTTTTTATTATACTTTAAGTTCTGGGGTACATTTGCATAACGTGCAGGTTTGTTACATATGTATACTTGTGCCATGTTGGTGTGCTGCACCCATCAATTCGTCAGCACCCATCAACTCGTCATTTACATCAGGTATAACTCCCAATGCAATCCCTCCCCCCTCCCCTCTCCCCGTGATAGGCCCTGGTGTGTGATGTTCCCCTTGCCGAATCCAAGTGATCTCATTGTTCAGTTCCCACCTATGAGTGAGAACATGCGGTGTTTGGTTTTCTGTTCTTGCGATAGTTTGCTGAGAATGATGGTTCCCAGCTGCATCCATGTCCCTACAAAGGACACAAACTCATCCTTTTTGATGGCTGCATAGTATTCCATGATGTATATGTGCCACATTTTCTTAATCCAGTCTGTCACTGATGGACATTTGGGTTGATTCCAAGTCTTTGCTATTGTGAAGAGTGCCACAATAAACATACGTGTGCATGTGTCTTTATAGCAGCATGATTTATAATCCTTTGGGTATATACCCAGTAATGGGATGGCTGGGTCATATGGTACTTCTAGTTCTAGATCCTTGAGGAATCGCCATACTGTTTTCCATAATGGTTGAACTAGTTTACAATCCCACCAACAGTGTAAAAGTGTTCCTATTTCTCCACATCCTCTCCAGCACCTGTTGTTTCCTGACTTTTTAATGATTGCCATTCTAACTGGTGTGAGATGGTATCTCATTGTGGTTGTGATTTGCATTTCTCTGATGGCCAGTGATGATGAGCATTTTTTCATGTGTCTGTTGGCTGTATGAATGTCCTCTTGAGAAATGTCTATTCATATCCTTTGCCCGCTTTTGGATGGGGTGATTACTTTAAAGAAATCATTTTTTAATTTTTTAGTTACATATTTGTATGACACATCCTTTCTATTTCTTCTCACCATTAATATCTTTATTACACCTAAGGGATTAATACTATCTTAATACTTTAGACTCCTGGCTTGTTTGTATTGTGTGCTAATTCATATTCCCACCATCAAGATAGCACAGAAAATGTCAGCTGGTGCCACTAGATTTTGTTCATTCTTTGATATCATTGGAAACTATAGAGCAACCTGTCTGCCCAGGAACCTCTAGTTAATACACAAGTATATGACTCTTTGGGAGGCCATGGTT